GGGAGGGTGACTGGTGCTGACAGGCTGGGTGAGCACATTTTATTTTGTTTTGCATGAACAGAATCCATAGCTGTAATGCCATTATTGTTTGCTAATATTTATAAAACAAAGGATCCCTGTTGAGAAATACGTAAAATTAAAAAACAGGTAGCTTGTGCTCTTTTTACATTAAAGACCGATGAGTGGTTAAAACGTGTGGTGACCGAAACCATTGAGGAGTGGGATGCTGGTGACAACAGTGTGCTACTGAGATGGCTTGGCTAACACTGCCAGGTTTGCCAGCTCCTTTGTTAGATCACTCTTGTGCATTAGGTTTGTCAGCTTTGAATACATGCTTTTTCACCCTATTCTTCTTTCTCCACTTCTCCTACAGAGTATGCTTTCATGTGGTTGCCTTTGCATTTTGGAAGAGCTTGTTTTCAGCTGATGTAAATGACAGTTTAAACCCCAATGAAACAAGATCTGCAGATAGGCTACTAAGCTCTCTCCAAGCTATTTTTTTTTTTTTCCATTTTAAGAGCTCTGCTTTTTTTTCTTTTTGAGGGTAGAGGGCTGACTGATTCTTCCAGGAGATTCCAGGAAACAGTAGTCACCTAAACAAACAGTTGGATTCAACGTGCCCAGAGAGGTCCTCTGTGCTGGAGGATCACCAGCAGTCATTGTCTTCTGGTCCTCAGTACTAACTAGTCTTCTATGGTATTGCAATTTGTGTTACTAAGCTTGAGAGAGATTTTTAAACCCAATGTAGTATCCATTGGTGGAGGAATTTCCTGCTTGACTTCATGTAGATAAATGAATGTGTACAGTGAGACAAGGGACAGAAGAAAAACTGAAAGTAAATATTAATTTTTGACTGCTTGTGTTGTGTTGAATCGCTGCAGGAACTTAATAGAGACATTTCCTCATGCATTCTTTCACTGAAAACAGTATTTGCTCTACCACTGTTTTGGCCTCTTAGCCATTTTGGGACTCCTTAGTGTTAGAACTGTGTTTTTGTTAATCTGGCATATTTAGATTATTTTACTACCTGAGGTTTACAAATCTGTCCTGGACAGGAAATCTCTGTTTTAGTGTCTGGTGAGTGTCAGTGGCTGAATGCAGTGTAGTTGTGGTTCCTGATGGCTTCTGCCCCCACCCCTCCCCAAGCACTATTTGTGTCACAGACCTTTTGTCTTCTGGAGGCACAGAAACAATGTTTGAGATATTTTGTAAACAAATAATACAGTGATGGAATACAAAGAGATCTCAGCTGGGTGTAGCCAGACCTTTGCTTTTGAGAGTACAAATAACTAATCTCATGCTTGAGTGCATTATTTTAGTGATAGTGTTCTCCTGGATGGTATGATAAACATCTAATTCAACTCAGCAGTTGTTTTCAACTTGTATTTCCCTTTGAAGCTTACTGCTTCTGTTGCAGACTTGAAGAGGCTTGTGTCCCTTAAGTGTTTTTTTTTCCTCTCTCTTCCCCTTCCCACTTACTTTGCTTTTTTCCCAAACGCTGTTGGTCTGGTAAGATATTTTCAAATTTTAATACTAAGAAACTGCATTTTGGAATCAGGTATGCTTAAATTAGTCTTCTGGGTATCTTCTTTTTTTTTTTTTTTTTTTTTTGGCTTGACCTAACCTGTAAGGTAACCTATAATGACAGGCCTGTAGTTGTGGGTCACACTGAACTCCTTAGAATAACTAATACAGTTTGTTGTATGCCTGTGCTCTCCTTCCTGAGGACTCTCAAACTGAGAGTAATCTGTAGATAGGTTTAGCTGCTTTCCTACCTTGTTTGCCATCCCCTACTTGTTAGGGGTCCAAAAGTCTAGCCACCATGTCACCAAAAGAACCTGGTATGGGGTATGTGCATGTGTATTCCTGATCATGTGATTAGGAAATATTTTCTCTCCAGCCACAAGTGGACATACGTGCATCAGAAGACAGGCTGGGCAAGAGATGCAGTTCTGGTCAAATGGTGCACTTGTGCAGACTATTTCTAGTCAGTTGACCACCATATTTGTACTCTTCATGTGAGGACTTCATATATTCTGGTTAGACAGAGACAGCTCATGGGGAAGGTTTTCTGGCATATAGCCTTCTAATGCCTCTGTAAAAGCCTCTGTGTACCTGTCAGTAGAAATCATTAGTCCTAATGAAGGATTGTGGAATATTTGTTTGCCTCTGAAGGTTTGTAAGAAGAGATGAAACACAACCTCCACCGACTGCCATTTTAAAACTTAAGTCTGCGCACTAGACTTGTTTCTTAATGAACTAATTGGAATTACTTTTAACTGTCTAATATCCTGTTTCCCGAAAATAACATTACTATAATTTTCAGATATGTTTTTCTATGTTGTCTGATCCAGTTTGGGTTTGTGGGCATCAGTACAGCTCTGCTGTCTTTTCTTTTCCATGTTGACTTTGCCTGGAGCTGCCTAGTACACCCAACAGCATTTATTCTTGCATTGATGGAGTACAATAGAGGCTTTGACAGACTAAAGCCCGAAGGAACCATTAAAATTATCTGATTTCATTTTGACAGCTATACAATTTCTGCAAGTGTTAGAAGGTGGCAATGGCCATGCTGGCTTGGACTAAAGCTGTGTCTAACTCTTTGTCTGAGCTCCAATGACTGCCAAAAGTGAATAGCTAGAGAAAAGTAAAAATGATAAGTTGGACATACCCTCTGACCCTTTCTGCTTAGGGGAGTTCTTGAGCTGTTGCAGGTTACATTGTTTGAGTACAATGCTTAATAGTTCAGGAAACCAAAGAGTGGAGTAGTTGAGTCAAAAGAAGTTGTTGAGGCAGGTTCAAAAAGAATTAAATTAATTTGAAGACGACAGGTCTGCAGGCAGTTGCTAAAGTGCATAGGAAGAACTGTGGTGCAGCAGCTGTGGGTGCTGGGGGGCTGGACTGCAGAATGTGGCCCGTCTTGTCTCATCCCCTAAGCAGCATCGCCCACTGCTGTGTAAGGCACAGGCTAGCTGGACCTATGGCCTGATCTGGTGAGGCATTTGTTGGCTTGTTAGTAACCCACAGGGAAACCTAGAAGAGCTTGTCCAATCTCTCCCTGTTTTCATGTAAACTTCTTGTGTCAATGGCGTGTTTTGGCAAGAAATTCCCCAGCCTTGTCACATGAAGAATCACCCTTTTCTGTTTTGAATCTGGCTCCAACTTGCTCTGTTTAATCATCTGATACATGTTATATTTAATGAAAAGACATTGGTAAGCAATTGATTCTACCCACTATTTTCATGCCTTTCATGATTTCCCAGTATTTTCTCATATCCCTTATACATCATCTCTTACCCAAGGTCCACGCTTCTGCTACTGTTGCTTGCGTGGAAGCTGGTTCAAGCCTGGATTGCTCTCCCCATTAAGTTCAAAATTCTGAGCTATAGTATGGCTTTAGATCAATGTGTGTTTGCCATAGGCTACCTCTGCAGCTAATGTGTGTGTACTGAATCGTAGCCATGTTTAGTACCTTTTGACATTTTTTTGCCTCTGCTGTGTTTGAGTCCTCAGTTACAAACCATTATGTATAGATGTAAATGAAGATAAAGACACAACTATGTTTCTTTAATAAATTGCATAAAGTTTTCTTAATTTACTGCCTAGACTTCTGTGTGTCCTGTTACAGATAGAGCTTCCTACTCCCCTCCAGCAGGAAAAAACATGCAAAGTGTCAGTGAATGGTAGATAAAGTTTTTGCCTTAGTCCACTTCCTGAGTCAAGGTTTTTCCTTTGACAATGTATAAGCTAGTCTGAGTTGAAAAAAAATCTCCTGATATTTGACATCTAGGGAGATAAAGCCTGAAGCACAGTGGTCCTTAGAAGGCTTGCATTTGCACTTGATAAAATCACAGGTAATTTGTATGTAGTCCTCCCACCTGACAGTAGCGATATACTGTACTGATGTGTCATGTCGTGCTTTGTTCCTTCCTCAGAAAAATGGAGGCACCTCTAGCTTAAATATGTCTCATTGCCAGAACAAAGTGGCTCGGATTTGAAACTGTTCTGAGTAACACTGGATCAATTTGCACTGTGCTGTAGTTGTCTGTATTGACCTGTTTGTTATCATGGCCACAGACAACACAGAACTGCCATTCCTTTTTGCTCAGTGGGGAAGTGAGTCAGCTTGTATTAGATCCTCTTTTTCTCTTTCATAAGCTAGACTTTACTGAATTTGAAAGCTTTTTACCACAACTTGCAACGCAGCACTCTAGTGCATGTGAAACTGTAATTCCGTGCACCAGCACCTCCTCTGTAACAGAACAGAAGAGCTTGCGGTTTAACCTGTGCCATGTATGCAACAGGAACTATTTTTTTAAAACATAAGACAGGAGTGGTGTAAAAACTGTTGGCCTATATGTGTGGTTCTTTGAGAATGTTTCTGATTAGGCCTAATTTCACAAAATAAGTATTCAACTTCTGTATCAGTACTGCTTAAATGCTTAAAGAGAGACGTCTGTAGGTCTAGGCTTGTATACTAAAGATACTGAAGATTTGACTGATACTTGAGTTAAAAATCTAGCCAACATTGGCCAAAAATCTGTTTAATTCTATCAATATACAGAAATGGTGTGGAATTTGTATCACGTGAAGAAATATCTAGCGAGCAATCCAAATCTGCTTTTGTTGATACTCATTTTTTCAATATATATCTAATTATCAAAACGGTGGTTGATGAAATGACATGAGAAAAAGAAGATGGTTTTCATTCAGAAACCTTAGGGTATTGGTGTAGAGCCCCCCCCCACACCGTTTTTTTTTTTTAAGTATACTTGACTTTTTGGAAGAAATTAGTTTATGTGTAAATGGCATACAACGTTGCAAGTAAACTCTTGGCAAATGCTGGTATAACTTTTTTTTTTTTAACAATTTCTGTGTTCGAAGCAGGTCCAGCTTCTGTACAGCCTAGATTTCAGTGCAGCTGAATACCATCAAAGTGGTTTGTAATGTGATTAGGTGTTAATTCACTGTTTTAATGTAGTTTCTCCTTTACTTTTCAGAAAATCAAGATGGCCTGCATCAGGTAGTACACGAACGCCTTGGGGAGTTGCTACGTGTTTTAAGAGCAGTGATAAATAAACATCAGACTCTAAATTCCGTTGATATTCTTAGTGCTGCAGGAATAGTTATTGCAAAAGTAAAAGGTAAGGAATTGCTACTTTTCATTTTGGAAATTTCTAGTTATTGACTTGATTGACTCTGGCTTGGAGTTAAAGATAGGATTCTATGTATACAGAAAAAACAGGTCTTTTTAAGAGTAATATCTTAACCCTTGTTTAAAAATACCTTCTCTAAGTGAAAAGTAGTATTGAATAGCTTCTTCTCCTGTTAATGTAATAAAATTCTGCTTATAGGAAGCTAGCACAAACCCACACTGAATTCCGAAAGCACAAGCCTTTGATCTTGAGCTTTTCTTTACATGTGTGTTGCAGAATAATATCACAGAATAATAAACCATGCATTTATCCAATTAGAGATTTGCCAAAAATATTTGCTTAATTCTATGAATTTGTGGGGATGGTGTTGTATTTATCAAGTGAAGAAATATCTAAATGAGCAATCCAAGTCTGAATTGCCTAACAGTTATAAATTCCACCAACAGATCATAGGTATAGCAAAGGTGTCAAAAGCAACAAAAAATGCCTTGCAGACACAGACATTAATTTTTATTGCTGGTCTTTGCTGCTGCTGTCCTCTGCATGTCAGATTAATGCAAATGGTAAAGCACACAATTGCTCCAGACACATAGACCATAGCTGTTTTTTCTCAGCCTAGCCCTTGTCTGTAGCTCTCCCTACTCTGGAATCATGCCCAGTTATATTACTGTGGACAGTACAGTTTCTTCCGGGTGGTGTGGAGAATGCTTTGAGTAGGGTTAAATCTCCACATCTTGCCTGTGTTAATGTAGAACATCTTCCTTCAGAGACGCATAATTTAGTTGTTTTCCTTGTTCTAGGGGTTTTCCGCCTCGTTCCTAATTATGTTAGTATGTCTGTACATACCCTGCTGATTCAGTAAAGCAACGTGCTTTAGAGAACTGTACATAACAGGAGAAATGCAGAGGGTATCCCTGAGGGGTTGCTGTTTGTCTTAAAGAGTTAAGTACGTGTATACAATGGTAATCAGATATTTACATGTGAGAACAGGTTAAATGTTTATTGAACGTAATTCTACATCCACCTTAGACAAGCTGTTTCCATGCTTAAGTGCTATGGTAAGATTACTGTGTGTTTTCTATTCTCCCCTAATTTCACTGGACACAAAACAATGTTTAACTGCTTTCTTTAATTCAAGAAATGTTGAGGAGAACTGAGAGTACACAAGTAAGTCAAATTACATCAACCTTTTTCTAAATCATGTTTCCAAAAACTGTTGCAATAATATTTGTCCTCTTCGGACTATGTAGTTTATCAAGGTTGTTCTTGATTTGCAGTGCCACAAATTGGTCACTGTCTATACTGTTCAGTCTTACCATTACCGAGTAAAGTAGTAGAATTACTCTCCTTGTGTCACATAGTAATATTGTTGATTTGATTCCATAATTATGTTGGCATTTTTGCCAATTTTTGTGTTTGATTTAAAGTCCATGATAAGTCCAAGGTCACTTTCTGTAGTTCTAGTGCTGAACCAGATTTATGTATTCTCCCTCCTAGCCTTCTACTTGTGAGTGGAGAATTAAGCACTTTGAATTGCATAATCCATTACTCCAGAGTACTTGCAACCTTCTGAATTTGATGCCATACATATTATTTTCTCTTCTTGCTGCACACTTGTTCCATTGTACAGTTTCCAGTAGCACTGAACCCTGGGAATATGTATTGGTGTTTCATATGTTTTCTTATATGCATCTGTTTCTTCCTGGTTTGGTGAGTAACTGCTCTCTGAAGTTATGTTAGGATTCACAGAATCATAGGATGGTTTGGGTTGGAAGGGACCTTTAAAGATCATTGAGTTCCAACCCCCCTGCCATGGGCAGAGACACCTCCCACTAGCCCAGGTTGCTCAAAGCCTCATCCAGCCTGGCCTTGAACACCTCCAGGGATGGGGCATCCACAGCTGCCCTGGGCAACCTGTTCCAGTGCCTCGCCACCCTCATAGGAAGAAACTTCTTCACAATATCTAATCTAAATCTACCCTCTTTCAGCTTAAAACCATTACCCCTCATCCTATCATTACACTCCCTGATCAAGAGTGCCTCCCCATCTGTAGCTCCCTTCGGGTACTGGAAGGCTGCTCTAAGGTCTTCCCGGAGCCTTCTCTTCTCCAGGCTGAACAACCTGAACTCTCTCAGCCTGTCCTGTTACGGATGGTGTTCCAGCCCCCTGATCTTCATGGCCCTCCTCTGGATTTGCTACAACTGGTCCATGTCCTTCTTATGTTGGGGACCCCAGAGCTGGACTCAGTATGGCAGGTGGGGTCTCATGAGAGTGGAGTAGAGGGGGAGAATCACCTCCCTCAGCCTGCTGGTCAAGCTTCTTTTTTGAAGCCCAGGACACAGTTGGCTTTCTGGGCTGCAAGCACACATTGCTGGGTCATGTTAAGCCTCTTATCAAGCGACACCCCCAAGTCCTTCTCCTCAGGGCTGTTCTCAATCCATTCTCCTCCCAGCCTGTATTTGTGCTTGGGATTGCTCCAACCCATGTGTAGGACCTTGCACTTGGCCTTGCTGAACTTCATGAGGTTTGCATGGGCCCACCTCTCAAGCCTGTCAGGGTCCCTCTGGATTAATTCATTTCTCTTGATAGTGAGCAGAAGAAATAAGCTTAGTACTAAGCCTCTTTTTGGCCATAAAGATATTCACAAATACTTCTTAGCTTTTGCCCCCCTTGGACAGTTTTAAATTCATTTAATTAATACATTTGCACTTGAAATAAACGTAACTACTAACATTTGTGTTGTAGAATTCACTCACTATTAATGTATTGAGTTTATGAGGAGCTACAGTAATGGAGAGATTGCATTGTTTACTATATGTAAAGAAAAACTACTGTTAGGAAAACACTGTGCATATTCTATAATTACAGAATTTTGAAAGTAGCTCCACTCTTTATTGTTGTAAGAATGACATTTGAAACAAGCAGTGCAGTCGTATCTTCCAGTTTTCTGTCAAATGTGTTCAAGTTGGTCAAGTTGTAAGACTGTACTTCAGGTACATCTGAAAAGTCTGTGTTCAGCCATAGCTCACTTGAACTATCTTAAATATTGTCCGGTATGATGAGAGACCTCGCAAAGAAAAAGGGCATGAAAGGAGGTGATTTTTGTTATGGTAACTGTCTTTGTCCATGAGCTGGAACTGAGATCAAGTTTTGACTTTCCCCCTGCCTTGGTTACATTACTCTGAATAATTTTCTCACTGGCAATGGTTTGACAGTACTGGAAATGTAGCTTTAGGACTCCTGCTACAGGATCCAAAGTACGGTGATGATATGGTGCACAGTGCTGATCTGGTACACACACATTCTTCTAGCTCAAATAAACAGATAAAAAGTGTTTTCTGATGGAATAAAAGATTACGGCATGCAGTTGCTGTTCATAGCATTCTCACTGATTTCTCACTGAGTCACTCATCTGTCTGGTAAGCAGCATACGTTCTGGACCTACAATGGAGAGGCTGGCATAAACTGCCTGGTTGTTCTTTGGCTAAAGCAAACACAAACTTGCTCTGTGTCCTTCCTGTGATCTAGTGCTGTGTGACCTGGCCTTGCAGAGTGCCTGAGTTAATTGCAAGGAAAGGGAGCTCCGGATCACACCGAAGAAGGTGGTCTCGGTCAGGCCTGCCTCAGTATTTGTAGCCTTTGATACAAACTCATACTGAAATTAAGACTCTAGTAACGCCTATCAGCATTTGTTCAGCCATGTGTTGTATTCCTCACTTGTCTGGAGATGGAAACAGGGAGTTACAGGGCTTGAGCTCTTTCCAACTGGTACTTCGGTCCTGTTTCTCTGAGAATGGCAAAACCTTTGCTGTATGGAAACGGCCTACCTCCCCCCAGCATAACTGGTGGTAAATGCAAAGTCAGTTTGTCTTTAGCACCTGTTTGGTTTTTACAGATGGTTTTCATGTGAGGATCCTACTGCTCTATGTTTGTGTTCAAACTGAAGCGTGTGACTGCTGGAACTGAGGAAGCTGAAGTAAAAATACTGTTGTGGTGCATTGTAAGCATGTCAAACCTCAAGTTTGCTTACAGTGGCTTGTCAGTAGCACATGTGTTCACAGGTTTTCAGCTGTGGTTATTTCACTAGAAGTAATGTAACTTTTGAATAAACAGGAAGCTACAAGAATGAGGAGCTGGTAGGACAAAACCAGTATCCTTTTTCCTCTGTCTTCCCAGGCTGTGTTAATGTGACATTATGAAAGAAGTTCATCTGACTCATCTGTTTCTTGTCATTGGAGGACAGAACTATAAAAAGACATGGAAGCACTCTCTATCTGTAGTCAGATTTATGACTAAGAAGAAGATTAACCTGACATGGAAAATTTCTGATGTTTATTTAGGAGAGGATGAAATAGAAACAAGCTGGGGTTTACATGTGATTCCCCCACCTCCCTCATCAGAAATGGACGCATAACTGGTTTAGGTTCTAGAAAGACCTTTCTGAATCTTTGCATAATGCCAGGGTTTCAAATCTGGTTTGTATTTGGAACTTCACATAGGGGCAAAAGATTATTTTAACAAATTACTGCCTTTGCTCTTAATGAAATCAGTTACAATAATTTTGTAACCAGTGACTGTCAGTGACTGTGGCTTGTGAAGTAGTTGCATAAGTATGACAATTTGCACTGTGATTTAAACGTTAAGTGCAGACAGAACAGCCCCTTTAAATTACTACAAGTGGGAATATTTTGAATGCTACCAAAATTAGAGTGCTTGTGCCCCTCCTTCAAGCCTCTCAGCCATCTCTCAGGTCCTTCAGTGGGAATGACATGAATGTGCTTGTAGTTGTGCTTTGGATGTCTAATGCTTTTCCTTTTGGACAGAATGAAGGAAAAACTAGCTATAGCGTGTTATCTTGCTACAGACAATGATGTTGGGCAGAACAGATGTCAGATTTTTACCATTTTAGACTGAGGTTGCATTAAAATGTAGGGGGGGGAAAACTTGATTTCTCTGGTTGTATCTTGGACGTCACAGGGTTCACTGGGCCTCTTTGCTTAGACTCTACTACTTATACATGCTTGAGTACTTCATGAAGCGTGTCCTTTAAATTACACTTCACTTGATCTGGAAAAATTGAGACTTACTGAAGCATCTTGCCTGGAACCTGTTTAGACTCCTATTTCTGGAAGTCACTTCCCATTCTCACATGCCATCATGCTCATAGTTGTTATTTTCCTATTCAGTATCTTTAAATAGTTGATCACCCCAGAGTATATGGTTCTCTTGATCCCATGCTGAATTCGAGTTTGTACTGTTCTTTTGCTCTAAATGGCACCTTTTTACTTAGCTGAATCACTAGAATGAATGCAGATTCCTGATAAAGCTGAAAATTATACTTGTCTGCTAGAAATCCCCTTTTTAGGTATGTTTTTTTTTTCTAATAGTTCTGCATCAAAGTTAAATACCCCTAGCAAGGTGAAATAGTTTCAGTTTTGTTGGTGTATCTGTGATGTAAATTCAGAACAAAATTTATTATGGAGGGAGTTGGAGATAGTTCCTCAGACTTGTCCTGTTGGCATCCAGCTGAAGCTGGGGATGCTGCCAAACACCAGCACAGGCTGGTGAAATTATATGGCACAGGGAACTAAAAGTAGAACAGTGGGGCCTCAACAGCCTTCTGATCTTCTGTAGCTGTGAGATCCCAAGAATACTCTTCTGCCTCTTTTCAGTCTGCATGCTACTGCTCTTTACTCAGGTTCTTCCCCCCATTTTTTTACAAATGTTTTTAAAGATGAGAGGTAATAACAAGAACTATTAAAAGTCTTTGTTTTAGGAGAGAAAGTGTTTTTTGGTATTGGTTGGTTTTCTTATTTGCTTGGTGGCGTTTTTGAAATAGTTCTGAACGGTTCTTGAAAGCATTGTGAGGAGTTTGAGGACAGAAAATTGGTTGCAAAGGTACTTGGTTCCAACAAGTCAGCCAGTTACTGCTTAAAAGTCAGCTAGTAAAGTACAGATTGAAGGTGTGTTCCTGTCTGAGGAAATATATGGTGGTGTTACCATATCTGTCTATTAGGTATGAGAAAATCAACCTGCAAAGAGTAAATTCTGCGAGCTGGTGTAGTTTAGACTTGTCCATGCTCTACAGACAGCTGGCCAAGGTAGCTTTCTTGCTGCCAGTCTTGCACATGTCTATGGGGGGAAGCAAGTGAACTCCTGAAGGCACTGGCATGGCTGTGTCCCTTGGGTTTCTTGGGCTGTGCTGTCTTGACTGGAAGGAGACAAGAGAGCATCGCAGAAGCTTCTGTGCTGTGGCTGCTGTGAGATGTCTGAACATCATCTTTTAAAGGCCCTGGTTGCACTTTGGTCTTGACAGCCTCTTCTTCATTGTTTTAGAAGCATTGCTCGAATGTCCTCAGGCACTGCTTCAGCTGCTGGGATCTTGACTTCCAAAACTTCCATGGCTGTTGCTTCTTCCCCAGCCTGTTCTGTGCTTGATGCAGAAAGCTTTTGATGGCATGACCCAAGAGTTGAAACTCTGCAGTGTCTTGCAGCATTTTGATGAGGTTGCCAAACCCACCTCAGTTTGAAGACAGCTTTGGAAATATAGATCCACTTCAATGAAAGATAGGCTTGCATTTCAGGTACTGGATTCTGGATTTTAATGTATTACTATCAGATTATTTTTTTGAAGTTCATTATGTGCCACCTGAAGTCTTACTTAAAAGCGTTGTTAAATTGTGTACTTGCTTTGAAATCTGTAGAACTATAGATAGATAGCTGTCATTTCCAGACATGGAAAGATTACTATAGTTCATTGTTGTCAGTAGCTATTGTGTGCAGTCAGGATGTCCTGGGGAAAGAGCGTGCATGGTCTAAAGTTGATGTTAAGTACATCAGCATTCCAGTGGTAGTAAGCTAGAAGAAAGCTGTTTTTATTCCACTGAATTACTAAGAGCTTGGACTGACCTTTTCTGAGAGAAGTGTAATTCTGAAAAATTTTACATCGATTATTCCGTTTGTGATGGATCCCAAAAAGAAAGGATTTCTCTGGTGTGTGAAGTGTAAAGCTTAACAAAACTCTTCCTGGAACAGGAAGGCAGAGCGAAACAGGCAGCATTTCTTTAGGGAGAGGCTATCTATATTAATGTCTCGTTAGCAAAGTGAAAGAAGTACTCCTTCACTGAAGACACTGCAGCTAATGGATATATGAATGTTTCAGAGGTAAGTGCTTTGAATGTGCAGACAGTTTTTTGTGGGTTCTTTTTAATTGTGAAACAGTTTGCATTTCATGCCGGCACTCAAATGATTTTTCCAGTCATTAGTAGCTGGTAATCGATTGATCTCATGGTAACTGTTGTTGCTTAATGATTTTGAATGCAAAGTTTAGATTTATAAGTAGTATTATCTCTGGAAAGCTGAGGTTTTTCAACTAACTTGAATTTTTAAAAATAAATCTATTTCTAAAATAAAGAATGCTATTTACAAAGTTGTTTTTTAAAAAACATCATTTGTGGAGCTTTACTGAGTTTCATTTCAAGCAAAGGTGCCAGAGGCATTTTTTTAACATAATTACAAAGCGTAAGAGAATGAAGAGGTAGAAGAAGCCGTAATTTAGCAGTGAACTGTGGCAACAGAGACTGTAAATATTTTGGTAATATGTGGCACTTCTTTTTGCTGTAGGCTTATTAAAGCACATTCTTCCAGATCTGCAAGTAATTGTGAAAATAGCCCATGAGAAGAATACGTATTTTGTGTAATAGCTTTGTTATAGAAATAGTTGTTATAAAAATGTTGATCAGGCCTGTTGGCAAGCTGTGTAAAAAGGAATGGATTCAACTGTGTTAATTTACTGGTTAAAAACTTTTCCTTTCACAAAGGAAGTCTAATGGGGGAGCAGATTACTGTACTTTCTTTGTTACCGTTTAGTGTTTAGGCACCTGGCAGGAAGTTTGAATACTTCTTAAGATTAAAGTCTGTTACTTTAATTTGCTAAGAAAATGTGTATAGACTGGGCAACACTTTAACGTGATTTAATTTTTGCTTCTTCTAGAAGTCATTGTGGTCCATTATTACCGTATTTGTATTTGAAATGTACGGAGGATCACAGGTCTTGCAGAAAGTGGTGAATAGCAGTGATAGCTGTATCTGTGTCATCACACTATCTCTGAATCAGATGAGCATAAGTGTAACTTAGGCATCTAGATAATTAAGAATATTGCATTGCTTGAAAAAATTAAACTTTTAAAAAATAAATACTCGTGAAATTGTCACTTCTCGCAATGTAAAATTGGGAAAACTTCCATCCAGAGGGCTCAGCTTCGGCTGGAGGGAGTGTATGCAACTTCTCTACAAAAAATTTCCCTGTCACTAATGATTAAGGAGTTAAGTTGGAAACAAACAAAAATGGTTGTGCCTTTTGTCTTCTTTCTCCTTCCTCCCCCTTGTCCACTAGTTGTTAATAGGAACTCTGGATGAATCATTCTGCTTGTTCTTCTTGTCTCATTATTCCAGTTTGTCATGGAAGCATGTTAAAGGCTCAGTGCTGAGTGGCTAAATGCTTGTCTTGATCACCAGTTTAAACCATCTAGTTTGTCCAGGAATGATCCTTTTCCTACTTTGGAACAATTATAGTTGTTGTTGATAGTTGATGCTGAGCTTCTTCCCCACTTCTAACAAGCAAAATAGAGGGGCTTTTGCCAGACTATGGAGCTAATAATTAAAGGGTTTTACAAGGGACACTGTCTTTTGGTAGTTTTCTGTTTTCTGTACTCAAGCCAGAAATCCCGTGTTCTGGATACATACAGAGGATCACATACGGCTGGGGGGGCATGCCCATAAACTACTACTCCTGGTCTAAATTCTGATACTTCTACCCAGAAAAAAAAAGTTTGTCAGATATTTGACTGCATTTACGAGCTGCTTTGTGGTGGTGCTGCTGCTATGTGATTTGACTCTTGCTGGTAAATGACAGTTTTTCTCTTCCCCTCACATTACCATCATGTTCCCACACAAAGGTGCTTCTTAAGTGGGAAGATACAGGAAGTGAAAGAGTAATCTGATTTCATTGTGGGAAGCATCTGGATTGTGTTAATTTCTTTCCTTTAGTGTTTAATTTCTTACTAATAATCTTTAAAACTGTGTTTTTTCAATTGTTCAGAAAAGGATAACATTGCATGTTCTGTAGGAGACTTTGTGTGTAAAATTTGTCTTCAGTCCTAGTGAACTTGCTTGTTTGACTCCACCTCTTATTCTTCGGTGTTTCATTTTTTTCTTAAGCGGTGAACTTCAAAGAAGTTAACAAAGAAAACAAGAGAGAACTCTTTAGTGAAATATTTTCTTCCATTGAAACATTGGCATTCACCTTTGGAAACATGTAAGTTGAAATCCAGAAAGAGTTTTTAAAGAGCTTGGTGGAGGTGAATCAAATTAAGACTAAACAACAACTTTAGTTTTCTTTTGGACAAATATGAGCTGATAAAACTAATTTAAATTAACCACATCCAGAACAATTTTACTGCTTTGTTTGGGTGTTGATTTTTTTGTTTTACATTTTTTGGTTTTTTTAGCAACGGCAATGATGATTGTATAGAAATTGCAGTGAATATAAGACTACTTGTAAAAATATTTTGCAGAGCTTTTAAAGGATACTAGAAACACTGTTTGAGTTTTTGTTCTCAGTGATCTGAAATTGCTTGGTGAGGTCAAGTAATGAAGTAACACAATTCTTTGTTTTTCTGTCAGTGTTTCAGACTTCCTTATGGGAGATGTAGACAATGGCTCGTCATTGGGACTTCCTGTATCTCGGAGAAGTCGGGTAGGCTAAACACGTTCTCTTGGAGTGTGGAATGATCTATTTTAAAGAAGATTTTCACTTCCACTGAAACTCTGTGCATCGTGGGTCTGGGACACTTGGAGTCTTCCAAGTGTTCAAAGAAGATTAACCCCGTGCATTCAAGGTTTCAGACATTTTAATGTATTCTCAGTTCTAAATGCCAGTGAGGACTCAATGGGGCTAGCACTCAAGTATGTAAATGATAATGTGCTGTAATTATATTTGAGATTTTTAAATTGTTTAAGTGAAAAGAACTAAAGAAACTTGAGTGATTTGCATGCTGGAGTAGTTAGAATAGACCTGCTAGACCTAGAAGGTAAAGGTTTAGTGACCTCTTTTTGGCTTTTAAAGGCTAATATTCATTACAAAATAACCTTTTCTTCTTCCAGAGCACAGTTTGTGCTGTAGCTGTTTCAAGAACAATTCACTAAGAGAACTGAAATGGTACTGTTAACTTATAGGTAGTCAAAGAAAAACATTAGTGTTTTAAACTCCCCTTTAAACACTTTGAAGGTGAGATTAAAAAATACTCAGTACCAAGTTCTGTTCTGAATTTTTGTGTATCTAGCAGGAGACTTTCAAGTAAATCAAGTAAAATTAAAAGTTACATACAAGGAAAATGCAGTTGAAAATTGGTGGGTATGACAAGATAAGTTGTAGTAAGGTTAGAAATTTTAGATTGTGGGGTTTTTTAAAGGCTTCATTGAAATGCACTTAAGGCTTAGCATTCCTTCACACAGGCTTGATCAGAGCAATGCTGTGCAGGTACAGCTGAGAAGTAGTCTTTTGAAATTTTCACTGCATTTGATAGCATACATGTGAGAAAGATGGACAGTCACAGAAGTTCTACTTCTGTAGCTGCTACAAAACTTGTCTCCACAAACAACATGGAGGGGAGGGAGACTACTCGGAAAACTGATTCCAGCAGACTCAGAATCAGAGGATTGCGTTGCTGATAAAAAGTATGAAATGATATAGCATAGGAGCCATCATCTCATATAACTTAAATGAGATTATTTGAATAAGTACTGTTTCAGCTAATAGGTTCACCAGCAGAAGGAAAGTGCTGAATTTGCCAACATTTTAATCTTGTAATGGCTTTGCAAAAATGCAAAATGTGTTCGTGGGGAATGAGGTGGTCCTGTATATTGTACTGTGAAGTGAATGCTTGGCAAAAAGCATGGAGGTGGGGAACGACCAAAAGGAAATTAGAATATAGTGAAATGAAGAAGGAAGTGTATTCTAGATGCTCCAGAAGTCACCAGTTTATATTTAAAAGCCCTTTTTTGTTATTTAAGTAGCTGTACTAACTTTTCATGCCTGTAGATGTGTACATTCAGTGGTTGAACATAGCAGCTAGCTGCTATCTTAAAAAGATTAGGGTGTAACATTTTGGTAGAATTTAACATGTAAATGCTCTGAGGGTTAATTAAAGGAGAGATTTTAATAGCCTGTTAAGTTAGGGACCTCCCTAACTAAGTTGTTAAGGCTTGCTCTAAGGGGGGCAGGGGAAGGCTGGTCTTGCTTCTCTTGACTGCAGGGGAGTCCACATTCTTTAGTTCTGGCATTCCACTTGGAACCTTCAGTTAAACGATATGTATACCCCCTCTTAGCAAATGTAATTGTTCTCATTTTAGCCCTTGTAGTACAGCCAGAAGTACAAGGTGGAACCAAAGATATTTCTTAATTAAAAACAGAAGAGCTTTAGAATACATTGAAAGAGAGAAGACAGGCACGTCTGACCTTTCATTACTCAACATGCTGTTTGAATGCTATTCAATGCTATGTAGATCTGAGAGCATAATAAATTAGAAGGATAAAATTTTCCAAATGTGTGCAGAGGTTTGCCTCTGTCAGGGTGAGAGTTCTTAGGTAATGTGAAAAAAAGGCAGAAGAGACTGGTTAAAGTTGAGAAGTTAAATCTGTCTAGAAGTCAGGCTTTTTTTAATTTTTGCTAGGCTCGCTGGGGTAAGTCATTGGATGCTTGAGGGGGCAAGCTGTATGGGTCAAGTTCTGATAATAAATTGTAGGACTTAAGTAAAAGTAGTTGTCCACGTGCTTGCTTTTAAAATGTGGTATTACATATTTGCTGTGAGGTGAATGTGGATGGATGGATGAATGAATGAGTATTGATTAGCTGCCCTAACTAGACTTAGTGCCTGAATTACTGGAAAGGAGTGAACAGTACTCAGGACTGAAATAATTTAGGTCTTTTAGAATGGGAAATAATTTTTAGGACCAGAACTTGTACGTGCCTCCTGAGTTAATATAAAGCATGAATTTTTTTTTTTCCTCTTATTTGTTCTTCCCTAACTACTGTATGCCACTTTAAAATCCACTTGAAGACAGTAATGCTTTATACCCAAATCAGAACTAAATGTTCAGGTTTTCTGTGCAAACAAATATTCATCCATCTCTAAATTCAGAAATTTTTTTTACTGTTTGGTTGATAGACAGCTTTGGATGTATTTCCCACCTGTTCTGAAAAAGCCCTTCCATTTTACTCAAACTCTCTTTTATTAGACAGCAATTGTACTAGTATTCCCCTTTCTTAGGAATGGAGCTGTTCTTTAGACTGTAGTTTGATTCTGTTCAAGGTAGTTGATAATTAATACCTTGCATGTTTTGGTATATGGAAAAGCTGCTTTTGCTGTGAGGTAAACAATGCTTTTTGATTTTTGTGTGATTTCTGATCAGTTTTCATTTACATTTAAAAAAACCAACCAAACAAAAAATAACTACTTGCATCATTGTTACTGTGCTCCATTTTAGCTTTAAGTCTGAAAATAAAACAGCACCGAAGTCTAAAATGGAAGCAAGCTCTTCTTGTAAAGCTTAAGGCCACTTTGCAGCTATTTCTCAGCCTTTGTCTTCTGGGTGCGCTCTGCTTCCCAGTTTTCAAGAGTAGTTTATTCATTTAAAATGATGTAGGGTTGTGTTGGTTTTTATTTGGTTGTTTTTTTAAAGGGGGTGGTGGTTACTAGGTAAATTTAGTCATTTAAATTTGTTCAGCAGCCTGGTTTACAGCACAGTCCTACAAATAGTTTAACTTGCACAACTAAAAGGGTAGCAAAATGGCAGGGGGGTTGGAACTTGATGATCTTTAAGGTCCTTTCCAACCCAAACCATTCTATGATTCTATAAAATGCAGCATGAGAACAGAGGTAGGGATGAAATCTTGTGCTAAATTCCTTTTATCATTGGATTAAATTCTGTCAGGTTGTACTGTCTGTCAGGGCTTCATTAGCAAGTGTTCCTCATCAGCTGTTGTGCCTACAGTGCACATTGCAAATAATTTAGGAGAAGTCATTATTCTAATGGCTTGTAGAATGGTCTGTTGTACGTATATGACAACAGGTCGGTATGAAATGCTTTTTAAAGGATAGGTAGGGATCTAAGAAAAGCTGGAGGTCACTTAAATATGAGCCTGATTCATCAAACAATTAACTATTTCATCACAGCCTTTCAAGATTGTTGATTTAAAGATATATAATGGTTCCTTGCTGTTTATTTGGTCTCAGTCAACAGCTATAGGAGCTTAGAAGGTATTGTGTCTTGTATGAGAGGAAGTTACAGTACAGTTTGTTGCTTTATCTGCAAAAAAGGGGCAGATGATGCCATTTATTTTGTTAACCTGTCAGTTCCAGAGAGAGCTTTTCTTCACTAACTTAATGTTTTTTCTTGTACATCAGTCTTTTGAGAATCTTTCTGTGGAGTCTGGGGGTTCACTGCATGAAAGGGATGATATTCAAGGTAGGTCATTCATAAGTTGCTTTGTTACTTTTTTACATGTATGTTGCCATTAAAACTTCACTGTAAAAAAACCTGCTATTGCAGAGGTTTTATGCTTTTGTGAATAACCAGCCTGGGTTGCTTTTTGGGAGGAAAAAAGAACCAAGGCCTGAAGCACTTCTGTATGTCGTCATATGATTGGTGTTTTGTTAGGTCACTTTCTTTAAGAAAGTTATGCTGGCCATATGACTACTCCAGATAAAATACTATGACCCTTTAATTTGTTCTAAAACCTCTGTCAATCCTGTTTAGAGTCAACTAGCATTAAAGACTAACTCAAGATCAGAGCTGCTTAAGCATTCACCGTTGGCTAATACTGGCTTTGCTCTCAGTGTGTGGTCATGTCTAAAATTCACTTCTTTGTGTTCAATGCTTTATTTTCAGGACATCTTCGAGCAGAGGAGGTTGATAGCATGCTCCTAAGAAATGACAGTGGAATTGAATCAGCTCTGTCCTATGCTAAAGCATGGTCAAAATATACCAAGGATGTAGTCGCATGGGTAGAAAAAAAGCTTAGCTTGGGTGAGTTGCTCTTTCTGGCATTTAATCAGCTTTGTCATGATGAAATTAAATCTGTTTTCAGGCTTCTGTGCTGCAGACTGTCAATAATGTGATTTCTAAATCAGTAGCTGTTCTGCTGAAGTGGACAGAACTGTTGGGCATTTACTATAATTAAAGGCCTCTAACAAAGTGAAGGTGGGGTCTCCTCTGTAGCATGTCTGTTAGAGGAAGAATGTAAAAAGCATTTAGCTTGTGGTACATCTATCGTGTAAACAGTAACTGTGAATTTTTTTAACAGAAGTGGAGTGTGCTAAAAACTTAGCAAAAATGGCTGAAACTGCTAAAGCTGTTGTTGGACACCAGGTGAGTGCATCTCAGGGGTTTGGGCTTTATTTTAAAGTCTTAAAAATGTATTGGATGCCTTGCCCAAAACGAAAACTTTGAGAATGTTGAGGAATGGATTTTTAAGTTGATACAGAATTGACTTATACTGTAAATCACTGGTTAAAAGATCTGCTGTATTTTGTGTCTTCCCATCTCCTGTAGAAATTTGGATATATACATTTATTTTTGTTAAAAATGCAGAATAGCCTTATAGTTTTTACAATATGCTTTTTTCTGTGTAATATCTTGTATGCTTTGTAATTTGGACTGGTAGACTTATCTGTCAGAGAGTTTTCCTAGTAAGATGAAACATAGCTGAAAAATTAGTAATTTTCTATGGTCATGCCTAACTCTGACTTCCACACATATAAATACCTTACTAAATTTAATTGGAAATCTAGTTCAATTATACAAACATTTAGAATGGCAGCATCCATCTGCCTTACCTAGAATATTAATGTTTTGTTGTGTGTATTTTAGGATTATATGCCTTTTCAATCAATATTCATTAATGCTTTTCAAAATGACATTGAGAACAATCAACTCTGGCAACAAACAGCTGCTGCTCTCCAGTCTAACAAATTTGTGCAGGTAAGCTTAAAGAAAAAGACCAAGGTATTGTTTGGGTTCTTTTAAGTTTTGTAACAGCACAGATTATTCCAAAGAACAAACGTGCAGCCTATAAGCCTTTTATGTACTCTATTAATGTTTCCTATCTAGCCTCTTCTTGGAAGGAGAAATGAGTTGGATAGACAAAGGAAAGATATCAAGGAGCTTTGGCAGCGAGAACAGAAGAAAATGGTTGGTATTTCTTTCATATCAGTGTTCAATCTAAAATTCTTCAAAAGGATTAAACTTTCAGAGTAGGCTGTTTATACACTTAAGTTTGCATGCAGAATCTATAAGGCTTGCAGGATGTAGTATGTAACTGCTAATTTCATGACATGCTGGCATTTGTAAGAGGTTGCCTTTCTCTGACTATGTACTTTGGGACTGCAGTGTACAGACCTGTGCATAACAGCCTCTTTAATCATCACATTAAATAACTAGAAAATTAAAATCATTAATTCTTTTGCTTTTTTATTTTGTTGCATTCTGCAGCAAGAACTGGAAGCTGCTCTAAGAAAAGCGAAGTTGCTATATACACAGCGTCAAGATGAGTATGAAAAGGCAAAATCCTGCACTGCTCGTGCTGAGGAGGAACATCTTGGCTCAAGTGGAAGCTTTGTGAAAGATTTCAGCAAGCAACTGGAAAAAAAACGAAGGCTAGAAGAGGAAGCTCTTCAAAAAGTAAGAGTTTTTGTTCCTTGCTATTAAAGTTAAGCCTATACTGGTTTTACTCATGCTTTCCCAATGGGAACATTTGACCAAGTGTTCTGTTCATAATTCTTAATTTTACATCATGCTATGCTCTTTTGGGCTTTCATCCTAAATGGAAATCTCCAATTACAAGCATCTTGCGTGTTTTTTTCCTTGCTTCTAGTATGAAGGCTTGTAGTCCATCAACCCTTTATACTTCTGTTTTCTCTAGGCTGAAGAGGCCAATGAACACTATAAAGCAAGCATGGCAGAGGTTGAAGAAAAAAGAAATTATTTGGAAAGCTTTAAAAGTGATGCCTTAACACAGCTTCGGGAGCTTATTTACCAGTGTGATCTTACTCTGAAAGCTGTAAGCGTGCTTTTTAAAATACATTTGTCACAGCTACATGAATATTGTTAAGACTAAGAGAAAGCCCACTCTATACTGTTAACTGCTTAAAATATAAAGTTTTCAAAGCACAGAGGTCAAGCCAAAAGAAAAAGGAAAACTTTCAATATGTTCGTTAGAAGTTAAAAAAAAAAAAGGGGGGGGGGAGGGTGTTATACATGTCTTGAATGTTTTGGGGTTTTTTTTATGAGCTGTTGCCTTGCAAGAACCCTGACTAAACAATTCTTGTGAAATATCTCTGAGATTATTGATCTGAGTAGTGTTATTCTGTTGCTTAAGAGTACGGCTTCCATTCCCATTATTTTCATTAGTGCATTAGCAGAGATGTTTGACTCAAGCACAGAATGGCCATTAACACACTGCAGCATGGAGCCTGCTGATCTTTATGACAGTCTCAATTACTACAGGATCCATTGCGACTAATTTAATGTATTAATTTAATGCATGCAAGTAAGCAAGGGATTGTCAAAACAGTATATCTACTTACACAGCTTTTTAAAAAGCTTTAAGAGCGCATTATACCAATAGAGGTGTATATTTTTTTAGATGAGATAAAGAAAATTTAATGCTGGGAGTGTTGAGGGAAAATAAAAAACAAAACAAACACATATGCACCCTCCCCAGGCAGCCCAAAAACCAGCCCATAAGACTCATAAGACTAGTAGAAAGCTTAGACAAACTTGTCAGTTCATCTAAATTGTGAACTACTTTGCAACCCCCAAAACTGAAGAACTAGCCATTCAGTCTCACCTTCCCTGGTCTCTGGCTTGTGATAAAATATTTTAGAAGTTCTATGTAATTTTACTAAGAAAGTGTTCAGTTCATCTGTTCTGTTGGGAAAAAGAGTTTTGTCTGTTTCTTGTCTCAAGGGGATATGGAGCTCATCTGGTTTTGGAACTCCAGCTACTTCATCATTGTAGTGGTGACTAAAATTTCCTTCAGAGCATGAAAAATGGCTTTTTGGTAGCCAAAAGAACTTAACTGTTTTTCTTGATGAACCTAAAGTGGGCAGCCACTGGAATTGCCTTTGCTACCTGGATGATTCAATAACCCAGAGAGAAGAGGAATACTAGTATCTATACCACACGTGAAGTTTTCGCAGTTGACTTTCAGGAAGCTTGCACAAAGCCCATCCCTACAAATGTTACTATCTTCTAGAATTTTTCTAGTCTTAATATTTAAATAATTTTCTGTTGGTATATTAATTTGGGTTGAGCAAAGTATAAGTGAAATATCTGGTAAATGATCTACAAATATTATTTTTTTTTTTCTGCCAACAGGCAACAGTTAACCTGTTCCAGCTGCAGCATGCTCAGGTTGTATCTCTTCCAGTTAACTGCCAGTCCCTCTGTGAGAGTGCCAAACTCTATGACCCTGGTCAGCAGTATTCAGAGTTTGTGAAAAGTTTGCCGAAGGAAGGTGTTCCCGTTGAATCAGGTTCTTTTGAAACCCAGAGTTCACAGGTTGATGGGTAAGTTCCAAACTGCAGGTGGCATTTGCTTGGTTTAGAATTAAATGCTAGACACACGTGTTTAACAATAAAATGACATTTTTTTAGGGAATTAAATGAATTCTGGTGTTTTACCATGCTTTACCATTCTCTGCCATTCTCCATTTCTTTGACTCATCTTTCGGTAAATTATATATAGTGTTGATATTAAAACCTGACTTTTAAGTTCCAAAGCCAAATATCATTTTGGGTAATAAGACTTGCTAAAAGATTGACAATTGTGCAAGAGTTGACTTCTTAATATTTTAATGTAGATACTGGTTAATATGAAAAATGTAAATTTTGAACTCTGTAGTGTCGTGTGGCAGTAGTATTTGATGATCAGTTTAGAAAGTCCAGGGAGGTAGTTTTTCTCCTTTGCAGGCTTTACTGCTACAGTAGCTGCTTTCATACTGTTTACATTTGGCAACTTTTTGGCAGGAAGTGTTGCTCAATTTTGGTCTCATGTTGTATGTCTAAAGTTTAGAGTCCACATGTCCCTGTGTTACAACTTAATTAATTTTTTTCCAGCCTGTGTGAAATGGCAGTTTTTACTGTTCATCTATTAAAGATAAAGCTAATTTGGAAGTAAAGACTAGGAGACAAAAAGACTGCTCCTCATGTCAGTATGCCAAAAACTTTTCCACCTTTAACTTGTTGTAAAATAGTCATCTTGGCACTAAAGCACCAGAATATCCATTCCAATCTGTCTGTTTCACAGTTCTACAGGAAAATGTCGTCATCATCTTTCAAAAGGAAACTAAATACAAAAACCCTAAGGCTTGAGTCAGGCTTCTACCAACAAAAGCCAGGAAATTCAAAGTTAAAGCTGAGATTCTTAGTTCTTGTCTGCAAATTTCCTGCCTTTTAAGACTGATTTAGGCTATACTCATGAACTTTGACTTAGGGGGATTTAACTATGCAGCTCCCTGAGAAACTGATGAGCATGAAATGTCAAACTCTTTGTGTGCTCTCCCAGCTATTTACTGCTTAGGATTTATAGGAGTGTGTTTCCTCTCCCTCTCCCTCTCCCTCTCCCCAACATTTTTTTTATTTTGACATGGCCTTGTGATTTTTTTTGTGTACTTGAAGTCATCATTTTCATTGTTTAGGTCTGCATTTACTTAAGGGACAGTAGCTTGGACAAATGCAAATTTTAATGTTTTTAAGTCTCTATTTCCTTCAGCTGAATAGGGTAGAACTGATTAAGGACAGTTTCCTCACTGCTAAACTTGGCTAGCAGGCCACTTTGTCTACAGGGTTTTACATTAATTACGTTTTACATTAATTATGTTAACAGTTTTTTGGCCTTATCTTGAGAGCAGATTTTCACAATGGACTGACTATATAAGCTCTCTGGCAGCTTCAGCATATTTTCTGTGCTTTTAAAAAAGCACAGCATTTTAATGCCTATGTGTTTATATATTAATAATCCTGATGGCTGGGCAGAGAATCTTTTGGAGGAAAGCATAAAAGTAGGATGCGATACCCTCTGAATTATTCTGGTCTTTAGATGACCAGATTGGCTGTTTTTTTTGAAGTCTGCAAAATAACAGTCATGATACCTTTCAGAGATGTGGAAAAGCTGATTTACATGTTGGGGAACATTGGGAAATTGCACATAGTTAATTAAAAGTAAATTGCCACCCTTCTCCTTTTTATTATTTCTTTTTTAATTTGGTCTTTAATAATTACATATCAAATATGTGTGTTCATGAATAGAAATTACACGTGGCATTTTTTGTGCCCAGGGATAAAAGTATTGCTTTTCATTTAATTCTGTCTCATTCACTCTTCAAATTACTTTTTTCTTTCTGAAGGGTTTTTAATAAGCAGTCAACCAATAGTGTCCATATGTCACATGGTAACTTATCTCAGTGTTCAGAAGATTTTCCTGCTCAGACATTGGATGATGTGGGAAGCCCAATTTATCATCGTTCGCAAAAGATTGGAGAGAAGAGATCTTCCAGCAGCACAGATATCCAAGGTAGTCCTTCTGTATTTCATCTGGAATTCAGTCTCTAACTAAAAATACCAGGGAAAAAACAAACAAGTGCTTGATGTCTCACTGTCAGAAATGTAGCACTGAAGGGTTAAAAAATGTATTTTAAAGTTTGAAACTGATAAAAACAGTTATGTACTTAAGGACAAATGGAAAACTGCCTGTATGTATACCTAGATTCTTTGACAAGAAAGGTGAGCTGCAAGTCAAAACAGCAAGTACTGTCATGCTGAGTGTACTAAACTATTTCAATTAACTTCAGCAATTTAAAATCCATTGTATTTGTAAATACTATGTTGATTCCAGGTCTTCTGCAAAAGCACAAGTGTCAAGTTTCTGAAATTCATTTTCATACATCCTGAAGCTTTTACAGGAATATATGCTGTGTTTTTTTCACTATATTACATGTTTATGTAACTTTTGCAGTATTTTCCTGTTTTGAATATAATCATAGTTAGTCTTTAAATAAATAGAATGTATTTTTGTCCTTGACATTTGGAATTTGTGGATTTTCTTTTGAAAAAGCAATGCGAGGGCCACCACCATTCAGATCATGGTCAGTTGGCAACCAGAGTGGAGGAATGTGCAGTGATTCTGAAAGTGCCGGGGGAAGCAGCGAGTCACGATCCATGGATTCTCCATCTGCTAGCCCAGGTACAGCTACAGGCACTACTATACTAATTTGAAGTCTTTTCTTTGGACTGTGTTATATTAGTGCAGACATCCTTGTTAGTTTAGCAAGTGTTGGACAGAGCCTATAATGAAAATGAGCAGCTGGGTGAAACTGATACAGCATCCTGAAAATTTTTCTTATCCTCTAGGGGATTTTAAAAGACGTCTTCCCCGAACACCTTCCACTGGTACTATGTCATCTGCAGATGATCTTGATGAAAGAGAGCCACCATCTCCTTCAGACTGTGGTAATGTTGTTTCCATACCTGAAGTTCCCAGAAGATGCTTTTTGTTGTAGAGTGTGGCCCTTCTTTTTAATGTGCTTAAGAAAAGTACATTAACAAGGCTGTGATTACCAATAGCATTGTTTTTCAACACTGTGCCTCTGTTTGAGGTTGAGAGCTGAAGAACCGTGTTCAGGTCATATTAATGAAGCAATGCAGAATTGTCTTCATGCATTTAGATTAACTATATGGGCAGCCTTTGAACATTTCTAGTGTCTTCCCCCTCCTGAATAAACATAACTGATCTATTAACCATTCCCTCCAGACATTTGCATTTAAAATTAGATACATGTCACTGAGGTATGTAAGATCACTTCTAAACTTTGAAGTGAAATGCAGAGATATAGAGAGTTAGTAATTGGCAAATTGGAAAAAAGTGGATCCGAATATTTAGGGTAATAACTGAAATTTTAACCTTTTCAACTTAGATAAGCAAGTTTGGTAATGTCTGTCCCAGATTTGACCAGACCATTTCTAATTTTCAAATTAATTTTAATTGTATAAAGACAATGTTGCCACAGGTACTGAAACCTGAATAACTGGATTATCAGAAATAGTTCTGTGGGATGCCTGCAGTACTTTACAAACTAGTTTTGAAATATTTGTGGTACTTGCTCAGTAAAGCCTTTATGAAATTCTTCAGTTAATCCTTATTTCCTGAATGTACACTTTGCCTTCTAGGAATGAGCGTGTGGTTAACAATTCTAATTTATATCTAGATTTAAAGCATGGCAACATGTTAATGCAAACTTTCACTTGGAGTGGTATTTTTTGATCAATACTTGAGCTTCTAAGAAGCTTTCTGGGCAATTAACTGTATGTGTTAATTTTACGTTTCTATCTGTAAAACAAAGCATTTTGGTTTGGAGTTGTTGATAGCATTTTTAGTAAATTAGTTGAAAAAAATTGATCACAAAAAGCACCAGTTGCTCTTCTGTTTTAGAATCCTCTAGAAAATATTTTAATGTTATCATAGAAGACTGAGAATCAGTGATTCTTTATTATTTTAGATGGGTTCTGCTGTTAGTGTGTGTTAATTCTTCCCTGCTGCAAAGTATTATTTTTTTAACTATTTCAGAAAAACGCTATAGGCCAAACCATAGTGTCATCTTTCATCCTCTAGTGCAGGATTTTGAATACATAGAATGAAACTTTAAAGAATAGTTGCCTGAACTGCAGGGCAGTTGGAATTAAATGTCCTAAAATTTTCTCATGGCATTAATACAAGAGAAACCTGAAATACTTAAAAATGCAAAACTGATTGTTTGGTTCCATTTTAATGTAACATTATTTGATAGTTAATGTGTCTGTTATGTAAACTGTAACATTGTTTTGCTTCCTTGTGATGGAAATGTTTTTGATTACTTTGATAGATGCTATTACTTGCAGAATTCTGTGTTCTGCAGCACATTTCTAAAAAATCAGAATAAATACTCTATCCCAATAGTAGATATTAGAATGACTGTAACAAAGAAATTCTCTCCAGGTTTAAATGATCTGACATCTGAAACTGCAAATTCTCCAGGACCTTTTAGAAATGCTAATATGTCCAAAGCAGCACAAACACACAAACTGCGGAAGCTGAGAGCTCCATCTAAATGCAGAGAATGTGACAGCTTAGTGGTATTTCACGGAGCTGAATGTGAGGAGGTATGTTGAAAAGTAGTTTTAAATTGCTGCTTGGGATTTATGTAAAGTTGGGAGTTTTGGAAACTTGCATTATTTTTCTGTATAAAAAATAGGGACTTGTGGTTCTTAGAATCATCATGAAGTCAAAGTAAAAGCACAACAGACTAATAAATCTTTCCTTTTGCTCACATATAGGGTGACAAAGAGCAGAGATATTTGTTAGGATGTCAGACTGTATCAAACCATATGCTTTTTTTTTTCCTTCTCCATAGTGTTCACTTGCATGCCATAAAAAATGTTTAGAGACTTTAGCTATTCAATGTGGGCACAAAAAACTTCATGGAAGGCTTCACTTGTTTGGAGTGGAATTTGCCCAAGCTGCTAAAAATGTTCCCGATGGCATTCCTTTCATCATCAAAAAGTGTACATCAGAAATTGAAAGCAGAGCGCTGAATGTCAAGGTATGCTCGAGTTTGTTTATAATACTTAAGTATGAACAATCTTTAAAAAAACCAGCATCTTAACCACTTACTACTTAAGATGTTAATGCTGTACTGTTGATCTCATCTGTGTTTTACGCTTGCCTTTCAAACAAAATAGAGTTGTGCTGGTCTTTTAATTTCAGGGCATCTATCGTGTGAATGGAGCCAAATCAAGAGTTGAAAAGCTTTGTCAAGCTTTTGAAAATGGAAAGGATTTGGTCGAGCTCTCAGATCTCTATGCACATGATATCAGCAATGTTCTCAAGTTGTATCTCCGCCAGGTATGTACTTAAGAGGTCAGATGGAAAACCGAGGAGGAAAAGTCCTTTTCAGCAGTCCTGCAGCAGGAGATTAAATGAGTGCCTTGTATATTTGCAGTAGGCTTCTTTATTTTCACATGGAGCCTGGGACAGGGGCAGGGAAAGCTGTGAGATTACTGACTGCTGGTATTACAATCTCTATTCTGCATGGGCGTAATATCTCTTTAAATACTATGCAGAACAAGCTTTTGTTTATCCACTTGTAGTAAAGCTTTAATTTCTACAACCTTTCCAGTTAGTTAATTTGCCTGTCTTATCTGAAGTTTAAAACATTCCCATATTCTAGCCTCGTCATGCAGAGAGATGCTGATATATTGCTGTTAATATAAGCTAAGAAAAATTTAATGAAACACTCATAATCATGACGATGTGTTCAGTATGGAGGGATTATCCATCTTTTTCTTTCAAAATGGAGCTTTAAAGCTTCATGATTCAGTTTTCCAAAACAGTTTCAGTATGTATCTGAAAAAATCAGGCTGGGATGTTGCCCAGGGAAATGACTGAGTCACACTGAAAACTTGTTAACCCTGAAAGGAATAATCCTCAGATGCATGGTCTTGTCCTCTTCCTTGCACTGGCTGTCAGAGATGAGCACTCCAATCCTATGATGATCACCATGACGTTAAGTGCATTTGAAAAATTACAGTGATGTACTCTGCCTACCTACTCAAATAAAAAGATTATTACATATGTCATACTGGCATACTAATTTGAGGCACTGTGCTGTATTTTGACTAGGGCTCATAATTTAAAAAAAAGGTCAAATAACATGTTTTCTTCTGGTCTTCTTACCTCCTTTGTAGCTGATATGTTGATGTGGTTTTTAGGTAAATCTACTAAATTTAAATGCAGGAACAGTGCTAGAAACATCCAGTTAAGACATTTTTAGACAGAATCCAGAGTTAAACCCTATTTGAGACTAATTATTAAAACTGATTATTTTGAGTTTTATCTAGTCTCCCTACTTTGCTTTTATCTAAGTTGGGGCAGTGCAAATAGGTTAGGTTTGAGGTTTCTGTCTTTTTTTAAATGTATTTTTCTTAATTATTATTATTATTAACATTCATTTTCATATTGAGAGAATACTTACTAATTTAAAAATGTTTCATGGCTTAAAATCCCATTTTAAAAAATGGAGTGTGGACCAAAGTTGATAGATACCATGTGTAATATACTAGCAAAGACTGGAAAAATAAATAACTGCTCTATTATCATATATGCAGTGTAACACCCTCTCTAATAGCAGTCATTTTCTTGAAATCTGTACCTGTATTGATAAATGCTCATTCCTGAAGCTGTTGCAGGAAAGGGCTAGCAAAAGATGTCTGGAGAAAGGTGTAAGGGGAGTGTTTTTGTTACCTGTGATTGATTTTGACAAATTGTGGTTTGAGCTAATGAACAAAGATTAAACAATGTCATAATGTAAGAAAAGAT